ATGATGTCCAAATGAAGTTTAGTGTTGTAGTTGGTAAGACTGGTTTCGTGGTCAGTTTTGCCTCACTGGTCGCGTGTTCCGCCTGGACTGTCCGCTCTCTATTTCCGTTACAGCCCTCTGATCACTCGCTTTGTCACGAAGTCTCTTTTATCTTTCCCTCCGCAGTTGTGACACGGACGGAAATGGATTGTAAACATCTCTCGACGACTTTGTTGAACTTTATTGGGGGTAATCACTAATCACCAAAGCAGAGGACGAGGTTAGAGAAATCTTTGAAGTGGTAAGTGCGTTTGTCTGAGGCTCTCATAATTTTGTCGGTGAACGGAAGAAATGAATATGATTTTAGCCACCACGACGAAAGTCTCTTTGGGATCTCATGTTATGTAATGTGGCCAGAACTCCAAGGCACTGAAACTATTCAAAATCCCACTGAAGCTGTATCGAACGTGGATGAAACCTCGGCATTCCACGTAGATGGATTTGTTCAGGTGTTGAGACGTTTAGTGGAGCCAGCACACAGGACCGGGTCGTGCGTGGCGTATTGTTAGGGAATGAGGAATTATGGACGGCTAGACCTGAATGGGGACGGTTATTTGTGTCTGGCTTTGTAAAGGTAAAAAAGAACCCGGGCCATGGTGTATTACCATCAGGGATCGATATTGAGAACTCCCAAGTAAGGATGTGGAAGTGGCGTTCAAAAGCCAATAGAACTTGTTGTAAATGTAGGATGCATTAATTATGTTCTGCAAAGAAACAAGAAAGCTGTGCAACCAGGGATTTTCTTAAAGAAAAGAATCTTTATAGAGACAGTGTGATATTAGGTCATTTATGGTTTGAGTATAGATGTAGGCTACTAAATTGAACAAACCCAATTTCCTTCCCCCCCTCGAAAATATACTTATGCATACGAATTTTATCACTAAGGTTTTTGGGATATGTGAATGCAATTTGACTTGGGGATAGATATTATAAGTGAACTGTAGGTTGGATTTGTTATTCTTATTCCTGTCCTCGGTAAGCCATGCAGTTTCCATGTTAAGCTTATAATTCACATATCCCAAAAACCTTAGTGATAAAATTCGTATGCATAAGTATATTTTAGAGGGGGGGGGGAAGAAAATGGGTTTGTTCAATTTAGTAGCTTACATCTATACTCAACCCATAAATGACCTAATACCACACTGTCTCTATAAAGATTCTTTTCTTACGAAAAACCCCTGGTTGCACAGCTTTCTTGTTTCCTTGCAGAACATAATTAATGCATCCTAAGTAGTTTTCCCACGAGCATTTTGAAGAACTATACCCAGTTATTTTTCGTTCGTTTCCCAATTCCCAACGTAAAAGACTTGTAAAGTTGCTAGTTCGTAATTGTTGAATTTATTAGAACATAGCTTTGGCCTACAGTTAAAACTGTTAACATACCTATATAAAAATACACAACCTTTGCCGTGACATACACATTCGGCTTAACGGACTTAGTTTGACACATTCAAGCTCCAAGTTATCCATTAAAAATATTTAAAAAATAATATAACTAATATTATGCATTTCGATAGTTTGGAACACTTCGATAGTTTGAAACGGTCCGACGGTCGTGTTGACAAATGCTGAAACAGATTGGTTCTCAATTGGAAGATTTTTCCAGTTGAAGTATCTTCTCATTTCCGCTGCAAATTAGCGGGCTGCAATTTCACGGTTTTTGTTCCCAGTAATGACTTCATCAATGAAACTAGCTCGACCGTTTTACAGCAAAAGTAGAAACTAGCGTGGAGACGTACTGTATTGGTATCTTTGAGAACTACTTCACTGAAGACAACGAACACTGATTTGGATGATTCTGTTTTGGATTGCAGAGTTGCTGGTAAAATAATAAAAATCTAAAAAATTAATAGTGGTTTGATTCGGGTTTTCCTGAATTCACAATTTACACTTAATGATTTCATAATACAAAACTAGCTCCGTCTCCTGAATATATTGCGGTTCTATCCATCGAACTGCAACTTCTATGCACAGACCGCTGCAACTAGGACGGATGTGTCCGATGCATAGTGCAATGTTAATATTAGCGATTAGTTGCGTATTCCGCCGCTGTGTCACACACGCGCAAGCTACTTCCGGTATTGTAATAACCGCCATCTCCTCTTCCGGTTGCCACCCGCCAACTCTGCAACACTTATAAACTGGGAAATCTTGAAATCTTACAGTGAAACTAGTTTTTAAATAGAAGCGTGAATCGAAGTTAAAGGAATCGGAATCGGAGCTATGGGACGCCGTCTACACACTTTATCGCGTATAGTGCGTTCACACAGCCGTGGCACCTGAAGGATTAGGAGGCCCCAAGGGTTTCCATGGGGTGTCCTAATCCGTCAGGAGCCACGGCTGTGTGAACGGAGTATAGTTTTATAGTTAGAAAATACCCTGGGAATTTTCGCACATACACCAGGTTGATTTGGTATTCGAGAGTATAACTAAACCAATGATTTGGTTTGGTTAATTTTGAATACTGACGAAAAGAATTATTTCTGTTATACATTTGCAAGACAATCCACAGTATCTAGAAGGCAGTGGTGGAGGGGGGATGTCAAACAGCTGATTGGCTGACCACCCAGTCAGCTGATAGCTGTCCAAACATAACCTCAACACCGCGGCCCACCTCGACGCCAGCAGCCTCGTATATCTTTGGTCGATTTGTTTGATTCAATTCCCATTACTTATCAATTGGCTTATTTATAATTCGGTTGTTTTCCATGTATGTTGTCCTTCAGACGCTCCATTCGTTAAAGTCTTTTTACAAATAACTGCAAACATTTATAAATCCTTCAACTTGACTTTAAAATTTTACGCCATGCGTGAGTGTGATAATTGTTTTTTGTTTCTGAGAGTGATTTGAACTAATCCAAAAGAATTACGGGTTTTACAAAATTGTGTCCGATAATCCTTATGAACAGTATAAACTCCACTTAAAGATTTTCACATAATAGCTGATACACCTGTTCCACAACACAATGAAAACCTCGATACAAGATTCACCTGTTTCATTATATCGACTAATTAATTCGGCTGGTTCAAAGAAGAAGGTTAAAAATATTACACACGACGAAAAAAGTCAACCTAGTAGAAAAAATATCTACTTGCAAATATATCCTCAATAGGTGAGCAAAATTCACCAAGGTGGGTTTCCAAAGTCTACCCTTTCTGAGAAGGAGTCATATTATAGCGAGGAGCTATCAGTTCGCAATCTCTGACTTCTAGACCCCCAGATGCGTGCCACAATAGACGTCGGTCGCCCGTTTTCGCCCTTTAAGTTCTAGGAACCTCACAAACGTCTTGACTTCTTACTCCTAACCGCTCCTGGGTCGGAGTCACAGCTGCCTTTCAGCTGTCAAAGAGTCTTTATGGCGGCACCCGGCGAGAAATCACTTCGGTGTGGTCATTTCCACAAATTAAGACGCCGTCAGGTGGTCGATGTCTTTATCACGACTCTACCTTTGACAGTTTTGGGAACGGCGAAATGAAACTTCAGTTGGGTGAAATAGTCGCGAACGAGTTGTTTGTTGTGCTGCAGTTGTTTTTTTTTTCATATTCAAATTCAATTTTTTTGTATTGTATGTGTACAAGGCAAATGGTTTTTGGTTTTAATTTGTATGTTGTATAGTCAACAATTTTAAATGAAAAATCATTGGATTGCTAGTTTGTTTTCCATGTACAGTTATTTTAAGTTCACTAGATACTTTTTGTTTCCTGGGTAATTTTTTCCTGAACAAACCTGTTTCTTCAGCATTTACCGAACATTGGGATGTTTTTTTTTACCCAAGATCACCATTTAAGCGGTAAATTAAAAATAATAAAACCAATATCCAAGACACCTAGCATTCTTGCATAAAATTGTGCCTGTACGTGTTACATGCATATAAGTCACTATATTATCCAGTAGGCATGGCAGATTTGATGTCTTAATTTACAGTTTCAATCCGGAAAGCCCTATCAGTGGAACAATTTAATTTCCACAGGATTATCGGCTATATAATGACGTCACGGGTGAAGAACGCAGGAATGCCATACAAAGTGGCGAAGCCGCCGTGAAAGTCGGGGAGGTCCTCGTTCGGCCTTGTTCGGGCATCTTCGGCTTCGCTCGGTACGCGGAAGACGGCGCATGCGCATTCCTCCCAACCAGTTTCCCAGTATCGGAACTGTGCTGAGTAGTTTACGTTTGCACTTTGGCCAAAACAATAAGCTCTGCACTCGCAATGCTCTGTCAGGCATTTGTATTTTCGTTCTGTGAACTCTCAATCGGAGCCAATGTCAAGTCTCTTCAAGGGATTACCTGTATTGTTTGCAGGCTTACCCAACCTCGTTGGTTTTCTGTTTTGTCGCACCACGGCATACATTCGAAATATTGTATATTCTGTAAGCTATATAGGTATTTAGTTACTTCGTTTCTCTTATTCTTATTCGTTATTTTCTCGAGTTCTTCAGCACATAAGGGAAACATACAAACTTTATTATCCAAACGTCCATATTTATCATTATTTGTCTCCCGAAAAATCCTAAAACAACCTCTACAATTCACATTTTTCTCCCTTAACCTCCTACCTTCTCCATCTTTTTTCAATTCCATCTTTACTTATCAATGATACTTATCCAATTCAGATTTTTAATTACTTCCATCCCTCACATTCTGTTAACTACCAAATTCCAGTTGCTGCAGTATCCACAAACCTTAGCCAACTTCTTTTTAGAAACATCATTTGCATTATTCTTCCCCAACCATCAACCCCTTAACCACTGACTGACATCTGTCCTCCTTCATCTTCCCTAATTCTGTCCTTTAATCACAGCATCCACAAATCTTCCTCGCTAACTTTAAAACTTTTTTTCTCGTTGACTTCATCACCATGATTACCAACTTACATCCACCAATCTGCTAAATGTCATCCTCCTTATCACATCAACCACAAATCTGCCGTCTTGTTCCTCACCGATTCCTCGTCATGTTCCAGAGGGTGGCCGACTAGAGGCGGAACTCCGTTATTCCCACAGTGTCCTAGGGGAAGCTGAGGCTTCCACCCACCAGCTGATCATCCAGACCCCCAAGGAGGCCCAGGCGTCGCTGCTGCATCCAGGAGCTCTCCTGGGCCATCTGGACGTCGTCAAGGCGGCGGCCAGCGTCACAGTCAACCTCTTCGACATGTGAGTCTCTGAATAAATTGTGTTGATGGATTGGGGCATTTTTAAGGAAAGAGATGTCACTGTTAAAATTTTCCCCAGTACTATGTTACTTAAATAAAAAAATTGTTAATCAACATGAACCTAACACCTCACCTAACGTTTAATATACAGTAGTTGTTTCCGTCAATACACCTCATTTACACTACCTTCCTTTTAACTGGACAACGAATAATAGTGGCGGCCCTCTTCTAGAAAATACCCATGGATTTTGTTTGAAAATTCTATCACTTTGGATAGTAAGTTTTCTTACTGAATGAGCAGCCAGAAGTTTAAGGTTTCAAGGCATGACAAATTTGACTTCAATTTAGATCATCCGATAAATGAATGATCCAGAAGACAACATATTTTATGATAAAATACTTTTACTGTTGTCTGTTACTGTATTCGAATTTCTGATCTTTAGACATACTGAAACCGAATTCCAATTGTCCTTGATTTCCTGAGAAATTGCTGCTATTTTCTATTTTCATAACTTCTGTATTTAGCCGGATATTTAGTTTGCCACATATTGCTAACATGCTTTCCTATATTTCAGAACTTGGAGACTGAAGGACATGTGCTATTCCCCTAGCATTCCGAATTTCGACATCCATTACATCGATCAAGTAAGTGCTTGTGCATTTTATTTCTTGTAACTTGATATCGTGTGGTGCAGAATCTAGTGCAAATAAGGGCTGTAAGCGTTGATTTCTGATGATTATTTTGTAATTTCATAACAGCAAATTTACAGTTTTGTATTGTAACTGTGTAATTTCACTTTCTGTCGGTTCACTAGCACTCGGCGCATGTGAGCTCCAGCGCGTGTGTAAGCCTTGGCTTGTTTATTCTCGACCACCCACCGCGGCTTCTTAAGCCTAATCATCTTGTACGGGATCTAACAAAAACTTCCGTTCTATCTTTGGCGTCTACGTCTGCATAAACAGCTACCGCGCCCTCCTCCCGATGTTGAGCATTCGGTTTTCACTTCGTACGTTTGTAGTCGTGACTTATCGGTAAATCGTCCAAATTTTGTTTGCCTTTAATCCTTCACATCCTTCAACGCAATGCTCTAGCCCGGGTCTGTTTAACTCAATGCAATACATAAGGCTGGACCTAGAGGCGTGCGGTTCAAAGTACAGTATTATAAAAAAAAAACAGCCATTGGTGACTGACGTGATTTAAACCCGGGAACTCGAAGGCTGAAGTCTTGCTCTTTACTACGACAAGCTCGCTCCTCGTCCAACTTATATTTTTGTCAAACTTATGAAAGCTTTAAACTGTGTGTTTAACATCTTTAACATATCACTGTATGTTTTAAATGCATATTACAATCAATGTCTCTTTTGTTACAGATTTTCGAAAACATGATACCCTGTGCAATAATAACACCTTTAGACTGTTTTTGGGAGGGTTCCAAATTATTGGGACCTGACTATCCTGTAGCGATTCCGTAAGTAGTCTTTTTCATTTAATATTCTAACTAGATTGTTTACACTTCGTTTCGTCTTATAACTTGGTTATTTCAGTGTGGTTTTATATAAAGATAAACGAGTTTCAAATTGCGTATAGGACTTCTTCTCATACCCTTAAAATTATTAAACGTTTAAAAACTATTTTTGATCCAACTAAGTATGTTTGTAGACATAGTTAGCCCATTTTATTTTGGGGGATTGGTGAGTAGTGTGGTATAACGCAGTGTATATGGGAATATGAAAAGGGTTTGACAATGAGAGTTGCGAAATAAGTACGGCAAATTGGCAACACTGGAGGAGGAAATGCAGCTGGAATAAGACCTTGAACTCGACCTAGACCTGCTTCCCCCCTCCAAGTGATTTATTTACTTTCAATTCTTTAACACTTTCTTTTCTCACTTTCGTTGCAGTTATTCTTGTTTTGGCTGACCCTACATGTTGTGTCGCTTTCATTTATTTTAGTGATTGTATTCTTCATTTATAAACACGGTTTGTGCCGATCTATTTTGTTTGGGAAATTGCACACTTTGATTCGTATGTGCAGAATGTTTTTTCTTCTTAACAAAATACTTTTAAAAACATTTTCTAGTTGTTTAATTACCAATTTTAATCCACAGGGGAGTAGGCACCAAAGTCAAATGGACGAATCTAAACCCACTTAGGTTGATGGATAGAATGAAGAACAACTCATTTATAAACACGGTTTGTGCCGATCTATTTTGTTTGGAAAATTGCACACTTTGATTCGTATGTGCAGAATGTTTTTTCTTCTTAACAAAATACTTTTAAAAACATTTTCTTGTTGTTTAATTACCAATTTTAATCCACAGGGGAGTAGGCACCAAAGTCAAATGGACGAATCTAAACCCACTTAGGTTGATGGATAGAATGAAGAACAACTACGAACCAGGATCTTTTCCATTCAGCACGCTGGAGCAGCATTTGAAAAGGGTGTGTTTTATATGAAAATTTTACTCTATAATTTTATTTATTTTTTATTTCCCAACTTGTTCCTGTTATGATGTAGGTAATGCTACTTCTAAAAGGCAGGGCCATACTCCAGAGTTTTAGTTTTAATATCTAAACTCTAAATATAAATTAACTTTAGTTCATATCTACAAAATTGCGGTTTCAGTTCCACAACTGTAATATACTGTACTATTTACAATTCAACAGTTGCATTACTGTAAGGTTCATCGGCCACGTTCTCTATCAATTCTGTAATTTTTCAACAGTTTGGTTATGTAAAAATAAAGTAAAACTAATTTCAAATGTACAATTCGCAGTTTCAGTCAACACATTTTCATATATATATATACATATATTAATTAAACAGTTGCATCACTGTTTCCGGTTTCCACGTTCCCTGAGCCAGAGTTGCACGTCGTAAAAATAAAGTAAAACTAATTTCACATAACTCGCAGTTTCAGTTCACTAATTTTCATATATATACAGGCCTATATTACTTTAACATTTCAACAGTTGCATCACTGTTTCCGGTTTCCACGTTCCCTGTGCCAGAGTTGCACGTCACTATCAAACGACCACGACCACCCAAGCCGCTTGTGGGTGGTCCAGCTCCCGCTCTAACCTAAATACCCGACCTTTTGTTTCGCCGACGATGGAAGTTTCGCCTAAATGAGCCGTTGGCCTTTGGATACAACCAGCCAACAGTCGTTCTATTATTGCGCCAATTTGTTTAATTGACTGTGCAAATCGGCTTTATAATTTGGAGATTTACTTCTTGATTTATGTTTGTCAGTCCATATTTTGTGTTTGGTTTTATTTAAAGATATTATTACGCAACTTGTCTAAAAAAAATCAAAATCCCATTTCAATCCATGTATTAAGATTTTTTTTTAAATAACTGATTTCAGAATGAATTACCTTAATTTCTTTTAATATACTTTGTGATATGCATACATTATCTCAATGCAAACAAATATTATTTATTATTATAATTAATTAATGATTACAAGTAGTTTTGTTATTTATTTATATTTGAAAAATATATAGATATTCTGTTGTAATTTTATATTGTTATTAAATTTAATTTTAACTTTGTTTTTGGGATTGTGGGGTTAATGTAATGAATTATTTGATTGTGTTCCTCTACACAAATTGTCATTAGGTTTTTATGTCTTCTTACTAAATTTTGTATAGCTTTATTTAATTTCTTGGTATTTTTTCAGGCTGGTATCAGTACAGGATATCAAGAGAAACCTTGTCTAAACCCTAAGGATTCTGAATGTCCTTCTTCTTCTCCCAACAAAGCTACAGGCCAGGTTAGTGAATTTACATTTTATTATTTTACTTAATATACAGCATTTTATATTAATAACCTAAACAGTTAAACTACACTCTTAATTCATTAAAACTTTGCCTTGACACAATAACTAAAATTTCTCATGATTAAAATTTTTATGTTTGAAAACGGATACTCATATTTTCATGATCAAATCATTTTCACATACCCCCTCTAAATTATTACATCAATGTCTGACACTGCAAATTGGAATTTAAAATTACTTGGGATATTTCTTTGCTCTTTTAGTCACTATTGTATGTTAATGAATTAGGAGACAAAGGATCGCCAGTCCATCTGTATATTGTAAATTCAAATTAAGGTCGGAATATTTTCGGCTAAGATGAATGGGCTGTTTTAAACCTGGGAACAGTTATTACAAATGGAACTCAAGATAAAAAGTATTTGGCCAATGTTTGATGGATTGAAGAATACAAAATTTTCTATTAGAATGTGAATTGAATTGTAAATCGGAATGAAGGAAGAAGCAAGACATCTCTTTTAGCTTTCAGGACAGAATGAAGTCATCAAATGCCAAAGGGTCCCTCCCCCCCCCCCAAGAAGGGTGTTTCATCTGCCATCTGCTAGTCTAACTTCTAGACCTCTACCTGGTCCCAGTCTGTCTTTTCTACAAAATCACAGGATTTTCTTCAACCAAAAATAGTTTATAACAAAATCAGTTTACAAAGCAACAAGTCTCTTAAATTATTATAGGCCTACTAATCCGATACACTTAGTACCCAAAATAAATTGTGTTCCAACACAAGCACAATATTATATTATCTTGCCATTGCCCAAAAATGATAGGATTCACAAGAAGAATTAACTGTCACTGAATTTTAGAACAAGCTCTTTTATAAGCCATGGAAAAATAATTTTAATATTTTCTCGATTTTCATTAAATACTGTCTCTATGTTAAGCTGTGATTTTGATACGCTAAAATTTAATACCTTGATACCTTTGAGGTCAAAATGATTTTTGTTGCATTTTATAAAGAAATTTCAAATACTGCAGTTGTATGTGGTTTTTATTCTTTTTACTTTAAAAGCATTATTTCATCCACAACCACAATTTTATTTAAATAATAAACTTTTACATATTTTTTCTTCATGTATCTATCACAAAGGCACAATTTGAATGTTCAAAGGTAAAATATGTTTACCATCTCGGCTACTTTGAATGCACAGTAAATGAAGGGGCTTACAATCAGGTGGTTCAAATACTTTTGTTTACTTTTTCCCAAGGAATGCCCTGGGTGGGCTACACCCACACACCCCATTGTCACTTCTAGGAATGTTCACCTATCTTCTAATGGGTCATATTTCACCCACCCTCTTGCTATTATGCCAAGCTTTTTCTAAGGCTTTGAGCAGTTTTTATTGCTGGCCCATAATTCAAAGGAATCAAAATAAAAAGCCACAACTGAGGAAGGTTGTATAACCTGGCAGGTGGTCTGGGGTCATGGCTTTGGATGTCCAGTTGTCCCCTTCCTAACCTCTAAATCCCCCTCCAGAGTCTAATTGAGCTGTTTCAGGATTTTATGGTCTTGGTCCTTTGGAGTGGGTTGAATCTGAAGTGAAAATAGACTGTGTCACCCTTCGATTTCCATTGAGGTTTATTCAGTTGTTTGGAAACAAAAATAAAAAATTATAATAGTAATTGCTTTTCTATAGTTAGTACCTAATAGATTACATTTCAAGTACCAAATTGAGTTTAATTTGCCGTTGGGCTGTTAAATCAAGAATACTTTGAAACAAGAGAAACCATAAGAAATTATCTGTTGGGCCTTTCTCTTTCAAAATGTCTTTAAACACTTCTGCTGGTGTTGGAAAAGGGCTTTACGTCTTAAAAAAGTAAGTTGATTTTTTATTTTGTTTTAGATCCCGGACATCGGGGCTGAGCTGACAGGGGGGTGTTATGGGTTCGCTGCCAAGTACATGCATTGGCCGGAGGACCTTATTGTTGGGGGAGCCAAGAGAAACAAGACTGGACATATACAAAAGTAATTATAATAATCTCCCCCAATATAGTTAAGAACTGCACACATCTATCAGTGTTGCTGTATTACGATTTACACCTATTGGATTTTAAAACAAGCCAGCAAGTTGTTTACTTCTAAAGTACTGGAAGATAATTTTATGTATAGGATATAGAGTGAAATACTAATGTCAAAATGCTTACCATCAGCACTACTATTCTCTACCCAAAATACTGAGGAGATATTACCAAATTTTTAAATACCTATTTTACTTTTCAAATCATGACTCTATAGTTTTATTGTATGGCATTTTAAACCCTCTTTTTAATTTTTATTTTCAAAGAAAACTTTATCATGCTAGTTTTTAAATTTAAAAAGACTCAATAAACAATGCCAAAATAAATTTTGAACCTAGGCCTATGTTCAGAATTATTACAAATTTTCTACCTTTCATTATGATTACCTAATTTTTTCTTCCTATTTCCAGGGCACATGCTTTGCAAACAGTCATTCAATTGATGGGGGAAAAAGAGCTTTATGAATTCTGGTCAGATACTTACAAAGTCCACCATGTGGCGTGGAGTCAAGAAAAGGCTGCTTTGGTGCTGGAAACATGGCAAAGGAGGTTTTCTGAGGTAAGAAACAATACATCTTAAGTTAAAAGTAGAGAGAGTTTGAAAAGTTTTTTTTTTTGTTCGGTGTGTTAACAAACCCTCCTATGAACTGTGTCCACATTAGCTATCAATTTAAAGGTTATAATTATGTACTGGTCCTGTATGACAATCTTTCTTAACCAACGATTCCAACTTGATAGTGTGTTCTGACTTGTGTTAAAATATTATTTCACATTTATTCACAAACAAAATGTGATTTTACCACTCTAAAACTTCTGTTTTCGATTTTCAGGAGGTTAAAAGGCAGATGAGTGGATCAGGAGATGCGAATCCTTCTCTGCTCGCTAACTACAACTTCTTTGCTTTCTCGACGGCAACGCTGAACGACATCCTTTGCAAGTTTTCAGAACCAAATTACATCAAAGTTGCCATCACTTATGCATGCATGGTGAGTTGGGAATGGATCTCTAACTATTTTATATGACTTTGTGTGTGTGTTTAAGTCATTTTTAAGTGTTTATAGTTAGGCTAGGTACCAATTATGTAGAACTGGTTATGAAAAGTAAGGTTATGTTTTGTACGGTTATGTAAGGTTAAGTAAAAATAAGTATTCCCTAAAGTTAAGTGTCACGGAATCACAAATGTAATAGGTTATGGATTGCATATTTTATCCATTAATTTATGAATTCATAATTTCAAATGGGAAACTCTCCACTAACCAAAATTCCCAAATTATGTAGTATTCCCAATATTGGTTATGTAGTTTCCAAAGTAAGGTTATGTTTTTGTATAAAGTAAGGTTATGATTGATGTAAAAGTAAAGTTTTATATTTTAAAAATTAAACTAAGTATTCACATATGGTAGTTAGGTTTCAGGTAACCACACAAGGCCAAGCATTTCATACTTTATCCATTAACTTATCAACTCATAATTGTGAGTGGGAAATTGAAACTCTCCACTTACCAAAATTCTTCATGTTACAGATATTGTATGCAGCCGTGTCGCTGGTAAAGTGGCACGACCCCATCAAGTCCCAGTGTACCGTCGGCATCGCTGGCATCATTCTAGTCTCCATCAGTGTCGCGGCAGGCCTCGGGCTCTGCGCGGTGTTGGGAATTGCGTTCAACGCAACCATAACGCAAATTGTTCCTTTCCTCGCTCTCGGCCTGGGGGTCGACAATATGTTCCTACTCACACATATGTACGCGGAGCAATCTAGTTCCGAGGCTCAGTTCGATGTAAGTTTTGAATTATGATTTTCATCTATGCTATAAGAAAACGTAGTTGTTGTCACTACCTAGAATAGCTTTACATTAGGGACCTGTTCATTGAAAGTGCAAAGGAAATGTGTCTGAAATAAGTGTATTTCAAATTAATCGTAAATAGGTGAAAGGAACAAAACTATTTATTAAAAAAAATCAGAATCCTCTGAAATTACAGTATGAATTTATTATACAATTTTTCATTGGTTGCGAGAAATTACAATAATTAATAATTGAAAACTTATTGAAATGAGTTATGTTAGGCATCAGTTGATTGAATCAGGAGCTCCTCTGTAGTAGTCGCTATTTGTATTGACAGTTGTGCCAATTACATAGAAATACGAGCCAACAGGTGTTAGGCTTTGGGCTTCTGCCACGTTATTCTCTCTCTCTTAATTACTGAGCAGGTACAAGATGTGTATTCATTTTGTATCATGCTGTACATTATAATATAATGTGGTATTTGAAAATAATTTTTGTGTTGAGAAAAAGTGTCACTTTAAAAATGTTAGAGTAATGGTAAATTTTTAACAAGATAAGATTGCATGAATTACAAAAGTGCATAATATTTGTATACACCTTCCATATAGTCACCATCTAAAGATGATAAATAATTAGTTGCTAGACGTGAACAAATCTCTTAGGATGTTATTTTTTTGGAATCCCATTACTTGAGTGGTGCTAAGTAACGTTTACATGTTTCAGGAGCAAATAGGTGTTCTGCTCAAGAAGTCTGGTGTGGGGATGTTACTGTCCTCTCTCAGCAAAGTCCTCACCTTCATCGCCGCTGCGCTCATCCCCATCCCCGCTCTAAGAGTGTTCTCTCTCCAGATCGCCATCTTGTGCCTGTTCAACCTGGGAACCATGTTGTTTGTTTTTCCCGCCATCTTGAGTCTCGACATCAAGAGGCGCAGGGCTGGTCGTCCGGACCTTCTCTGCTGTTACCTCCCATCACCAACCTCGCCACTCAAACGATCGACTCCAGAGAAGCGACAGACGATTACAAGAGCTTTGCCACCGGACAGACAACAAACTGTTACGTCAGTCGTGACTGCACCAGCTACTCCATCACCTCAGCTTTCTAGAGTGAGTGCTAGTGTTTTTTTTATTTTCTTAAGTCGAGTAATATTTTTCAAGTTTTTGTAGCCATTTAAGATTTGTCTTTTAAAACCAGCATGAAACTTTAAACCAAAAGTCAGTTGTATTTCCAAAAACAAGTATAAGTATTCTTATACATACAGTAATAAGTATTCTTAAAAGTAAGGTTATGAATTTTGAATTCAAATCAACAATCTTTGTCTTGAGTTTTTTTTTTTAATTGTAAGATACAATACTGCAAAGGGACAGGGTGATTTTTTAAAAATTGTCTGAAACCAATTATTCCGATGTATTTTGTAACTGATTTTTATTGTTATAGTTAAATAGTTTGAGCCAAATAAAAAGGTTCCTATACCCATTTCACAACATTTAGGCAATTTGAGGGGAAGCAATTCCATTTCTTCCACATGCCTCTATCTTTAAAACAACAGCCCAACAGCTAAGGTATTGCAAAATACATTGATAAAAACTAAAAAGATCTGATAACACCCGACACACTTGCAGATCTTACCGGGGCACACAATATATACACTTGCTTAAAGTTTTAACTTATTACTTTACTTTTATGCAGCATTTTTACCAGCTTCTGATTAATAGTAGCAAAATGCAAACAGTAAATAGTAAACATAAAAGAGCAAATATAAATAAACAAATAATTAGTCAAACCGTCAATCGGCTGCTATATACATTATGCAAGAAAGGTGAGAGGTGGTGGTGGAACCTTGAAAAACTTTCCCTGTAACCGCCAAAATTTTGTTAACAGACTATAAGGTTTGTTCCTCTCGATTGGTTTCAAATAAAGCACTCAAGACTTTTTTTAATTCAAAGGTTTATTGTTACATTACAGAATGACCGTTGGAGTGGCTCAACTAACGAACTGATAAACGAGCCTGGCTCGCTGCTCGAGTCGCTGTTGGATGAGTCGTGTGTCTGGCGAGGTGTCGGCTCGTGGTACGCACCTTACCTTTGCAAGGGAGCTGTCAAATTCACGGCCGTCGTCTGTATGATTGGCGTCTTGGTGTTCAGCATATGGGGAATCACCAAGTTGACAGACGGACTTGACCTAACGGATATCGTGCCTCGGGTAAGTTTTTTTAAATTTTTTCATTAAATATATATAATTCAAGCATTTATAACAGTTGCTCGCATCTAGATTAAACTCTAAATTCTCTAAGACAGTGAGTGGCCTTGATGTGTATTTTAAGCTGAATTCAGATAAATTTTGGATGAGTGTAGAATGAAGTGAGATGATCTGTGTAACCTCGGTACTGACAGATCAGCTATATCTATGGTGTATTTGAAGCCTGTGAATAGCAATTTAATTGTTTAATCAGTAGAGTTACTACTCACCAACCAGAGGTGAATACTTAAAATTTATTCACTTGAGCAAATTTTCCCTTATGAAAAAGTTTATATATGGCCATATAAAATTTTTTTATCTGGTTATATTTGGTTTTGGACCAAATATAACCAGATATGATCATATATGGAATCCCCCATATATGGAAATTTTTTAATAAAAAATATATAAATAAATAAAAAAATTACAATTAAACATATTTTCACATTAAATCTTATAAACTATGCATTAAAACCATAATAAAAATTTTTAATTTGAAAATTTCAAAACAAAATTTTCAAGTAGCCGACTGGGATTCGAACCCGGGACTCCAGCGTGGAAGTCTACCCCTTTGACCACTACACCACAACCGCTTCATATCAGATGTCTTTACAAAACCCATTACGAATAAGAGAAGCTGTATTTGGTCTCGTAAAACAAGATTTTCTTAGACATTTTATGTCATTTGAAGAATTTTATTATTAATATAGCCTAACTACGTGACATAGATATTTGCAGCTGTTTGATAGCAAAGGTACAATAAATTAATTATTAATATAATATTCTCTTTATTTAGGCCTACTACACTTACAATTTTAAAATTATACGTCAGTTTTAAGATTTTGTTGCGTTATAGTAAAATTGTACAATAGATGTATGTACAGGATTTTGTCATCTGGGTTCAAATCTGGATACTTTATTACTTTACTACTAATTACTTTAAATGAGAAATGCCTATATTATCTGCCCCCCACTGTACCACATTTCAACTCAATCAGTTCAGTAGTTTGTGCTTCCGAGAGCAACAAGAAAATACACAAACTCACAAACTTTAAGATTTATAGTATTATATATATTATAAGAAGTGTTTGGGAGTCCAGTTACAAAATCCAAATGTGGCAACTATTCCTTATAATAATTCCAGTTATTGTCAAAAACTCATTTATACATGAGCATAAATGGAAAATTATTATTCCGTATATGAGTAATTTAATTCCATACCTGGGAGTCATATATGGCCATATAAAGACCATGATTCCATATATGGAGGATATTTATGGCCATATAAGGGCAATAATTTCATATATAGAAAACATGTATGGCCATATATGGACAATCATTTCATATATAGAAAACATGTATGGCCATATATGGCCAATAATTCCATATATAGACTACATATATGACCATATATGGACACCACCATATATGGATACAACCACATCTGGCCATATCTGCTTCCATATATGTCCATAAAAAACCATATATGGCTTTATGAAACCATATATGGAATTTTGATATGGCCATATATGGCCAGAAATTACTTTTTTATAGGGGTTGAGAAAAGTTTAAATAATATTACTGGTATTTATCATAACCTACTGTACATACAGTATTACTTATTTTTATCATAACGAAACAGGATGAGATTAGCAAGTCATCAACAAAGTAATACTTGCAGATACCTATGGACATCTATTTTTCTTCTCTTTTACTTTTCTTCTCTTTTAGCTATGTATATTAGCAACGGAATTCATCACACCACAATATGTTTTGTATTCCAAGGACAATAGATTAAATTCACTTATCTGTTTCAGGGTACGACAGAACACTCGTTTCTTGCGGCGCAAGGTCGATACTTTGGTTTCTACAACATGTATGCAGTCACCGGACGAGACTTTGAGTACCCGACCAATCAGAGGCTTCTCTACGAGTATCACGAGTCCTTCATGAGAGTCCACAGTGTCATTAAAAATGACAATGGCGGTCTTCCCGAGTTTTGGCTCGGCCTGTTCCGGGATTGGCTTATTGGTAAGTTGAAACGCTTGTATGGAAAATAGAAATTAGAGGGTTTAAAGAAACCTTGAAACAGAAATGTTTGGATTTGGATATGATTACAATTGGCCTACATATAAAAAATCTAGAGCTGTTAAATAAATGTATGTAATTGTATTAGGAAATTTTCCAGATTCTTTACTCTTTCCTCCTTAGTTATATGTTATTTAAACTAATTATTTCTGAAAATGTACTATGTTAAAAAAATTAGTGAAAGGTTTTCTTTTTACAGCCAATTCTGATAAATCCTTACCATTTCAGACTTACAGAAGGCATTTGACCGTGATTGGAGCAATGGCTGCATAACGCAAGAGTTCTGGTTCAAGAATGCTAGTGACGAGGGGATTCTCGCGTACAAGTTGCTAGTTCAGACGGGACACGTCGACAACCCGGTAGACAAATCTCTCATCACACAAGTGCGGCTGGTGAATGGCGACGGTATCATCAATCCCAAGGCATTCTACAACTACCTGTCTGCGTGGGCTTCCAACGATGCTCTGGCCTACGGAGCGTCTCAAGCCAACCTCCGCCCCGAGCCTAAAGAGTGGTTCCATGTTCCGAGTGAACACGAACTGAAAATACCCAAATCGGCTCCCCTAGTTTACGCGCAACTTCCCTTCTACCTTCACGGCTTGGGCGACACGACCAAGATAACCAAGCTTATCAAACAAGTGCGTGATTTGTGTCAGAGGTTTGAAGCACGAGGACTTCCCAACTTTCCCTCCGGGATTCCGTTCCTGTTCTGGGAGCAATACCTCACGCTACGTCAAACTCTTGGTATTGCTCTACTGACTGCGCTGGCCGCTGTGTTTGTGTTAGTGTCTGTGATGCTTGTGAACATTCGTGCTGCTGTGGTGGTAACCGTGACTCTTGCCATGATGATAGTGCAACTGCTCGGCCTCATGGGAGCTGTGGGTATCAAACTGAGCGCTGTACCAGCTGTGTTGCTCATTGTCTCCGTCGGAATTGGAGCACATTACACCGTTCACATGTGTTTGGTAAGTTAATATGATAATGTACTGTAACATTAATTTATTAAATCTAGTCAATTTAATCACATACTGTTTGAATGTTTACATTGAAGTTTTTGCGTGGTGTTGCAGTGTTTTGAAGATGTATGAGAATTTAGCAACTGTTTGGATGCGTACATATTTTATCTACCAACTTTGTTTCTATCAAACAAACATTGCAGTAAAATCTTATAAATTATTTAGCCTATTAGCCAACTTTTTACGATTATTTAGGGATCTTTGTTGGAAATAATCCACTTGAAAATAAGTAACACAAATAACTTTTTTGTGTAGTGTACGACTTTTTGTGTTTCTTAGAGCTGTAATGGCTTTTTCCTATTCAGGTCAGGCTGCTACTCTAACACAAGTCCGTAAAACCTACGTCCTTGTGCTCGACGTTATATTCTTTACCTCAACCATTCTAGCATCTTAAACAGAGAAATATATTTTAACTTTGTATAAATATAATGAACCACTCTTAACCAGCATATTATTGTGTATACTTAAACATCTGATGTTGTTGCAGAGTTTCCTAACAAGTATCGGCAGGCGGAATCGCAGAATGAGGTTGGCAGTCGACCACATGTTTACGCCCATAGTTCAGGGAGGGTTGGCAACAATGGTGGCAATTGCGATGCTCTCTCTCTCAGAGTTTGAGTTTGTAGTGAGGTAAGTTCAACAATCAACCAGTATCGGAATAATAGCACCGCTTTTTCAGTTGCATTCTTTGATTCTTGACCCAGATCTATTTATTATTGGCTACCAATTAGTGATGCTTTCTAACAAAAGGTTGACTCTAGATAGTAACAGTAAGACTGGTTTTTGAACCATAAAAACACCATTGGCAGAGAAAAATACATAGTTTTACATAGTAAACTTTTAAATTGATTTATTTGAGCTGATTTGTCAATACAACAGCTAATGTTTTTTAGAACAGCCTGATTTAGTTGGTGGCAAGATGCGATGCAAGTTCACTGAATGAGTTTGTGGGGCAGTGATGTGTATAGTGGCTGCGGCTGCCGCTGTTGGGTCGGGTCGGGTTACGAGGTGTGTGGTCCGTGCGTTACACAGATCATTAGACCAGCCACAAAAACAGGAAACCACAGTTGTTAGGCAGCGGTCACTAAGGCTTCTGCATCGCGGTGCATTTTCTTTATAGTTGATTAACATATGTGATTTTAAAGATAAACTCTTCACCAAAATAAAAATAAAATCTTTAATATTTTGAAAGGATTGAAAGAGGTTGAATTGAATTGAATTTTTAATTTTTAGGGGATAAGATTGTGTTGTCGGAGTTAAGTAAGTATGAATAAATTAAAATTAGGTCTTGAAATTAATACAATCAATTCTTTTCTGTTTCAGGTATTTCTTCTACATCCTAGTAGCTTTAATTGGTGTTGGTCTGACCAACGGTTTGTTCTTCTTCCCCGTGCTGTTGTCGCTGTTTGGACCCGCAGCCGAGGTCGTGCCGCTGCACCACCCCGACCGCATCTCCACGCCGTCGCCCGAGCCTGTGCGACGCAGCGTAACGGCGCCCAAGTGTCGTGTGGCTCCCCCTCCTTCGCGCAGTCGTCACGCGCCGCCCCAGCGAGAGCCTAGTCTCACAACCATCACTGAGGAGCCGAGCTGGCACTCGCAAACTCATGAGGCGACTGAGCCGACACAAACCATCGTGGTAGAGCCAGAGTTTGTTGTGGAGACGACGACGTGCACCCATCCACATGTAAGTTTACATTCTATTTTTGTGAAAAGAGTTTAATTTGGAGATAAAATTTGTTGCAGGTCCCAAGTAAAGTGATTTCTTATTATTCGATTGTGCTAGATGTTTAACTGAGACTTGCAACCATTTTAGTCCAAAAAATTAAATCTATTATTTGAGATATATCATGTTCTACTCACCATCTAATTGCAACCTAGAATACTTAGGTTGAATTTCATGGATAGGAATCATTAAAAACCAAATTATAGGATACACTGATACTCCAACTAATTGCTCATTAAAACAATTTAAAAGCAAAATTGTACAATAACATTTAACTAACTTTAAATCTTTGAGGTACAGTTATGAAAAATTAATCAATTTCTCCTTTAAATCTTACCAAACTACATCACTGCAGCTGTAATTAGATCACCGCTAAACAAACTTTTATCTGTTAACACCAAACCATGTTAAATTTAAACTCTGAATGTTTAGCCTAAGTGAAAGTGTTGATTTACTGAAATAAACTAAAGTGGTGTAAATGAAATCTTGCTGATATGCAGGGCAAAAAAAACTTTATTTCTCATTTGTATTATCATTTTTGAATCCATTAAAATTTTTTTACTATTAAATATTTTATTTTTTTAACTAAAACAAGGTACGTTTTGTTGATTTATTTTAATTGCTTCTTAACTGAAAACCCCTTCTCATTAGGCCTATAAAAACAGTATTATTTTGCAATCAGGTTAAACTATGATTCAGGTTAAACATAAGTCCTCTTAAGTTAAAAAATGTTACTAATGACTTTATTATTTTGAGCCAGCTTTGGGAAACAAAGCAAATGTTCAAAGTATACGGAATGATTTTAGTTTTTTTCTCCACGAAGGGAGATCAATCAATTCATTCGTGTTTATTTCCAAACTTCCACATCTCAAACCATGACAAAGCCTTGGGTTCATCCTTGATGTTGAATCGGGAAAAGCCATATTGGAATCGCCACTGTATCATTGTGTAAAGTTAAATTTTCGTTGGTCCAATACTTTTTGATCGAAGGACCTCATTTCTATATCATAGTAAAAATGTATTGTATGATCTATATTTAGGCTACCAGCTGTCACCATTTCGAGTTTTACATTATACGTGTTTGCTCAGGTATCGGGCAGTGGTAGTGACAGCAGTAGTGGGGGAAGTCACAGGGATTCATCGCAGCCCCAATCACAACCCCATGTGACCACGAAGGTCACAGCAACCGCCAAGGTCAAAGTTGAGGTCTGCACGCCCATTCATGGTAAGACAAGCATTTTACAAGTTGTTTTTGTCCCCTCAATCACATTTATTTAATAGCCTGATATTGATGTTTGAAAATAGTGACCTTTGAATATTGATACACATCACGTTCCCACATTGAAGCTTTGGTAGAACATTACGATAAAAACGGACGTAGTTTAATTGAGCTGATGTTATTCACTAATTTCTGTGGACCCAAACTCTTCCAGTCTAATAAAAATAATTACTTTTAAGCTGTGAATATTTTAGAAAGAGATAAGAGTTCAGCTAATATACCCGAGAAAACTTCAGTTCAGGGTCTAACATACACAATAAAAGGTCACATAGCAAAGCACTGATATTTTGTTCTAGTATAGGACATCTTCAGAGGTTGAAGTAAAAACTTAAGAACTAAAATATGCTAAAACAAATTTTTTCCTATATGAAATGCAGCTTTTTTATCCAAAAAAGACCTATATCTTGTACTTAGTAATATAATAAATGTTTTTGTTTTCAGGCGGGATGGACAAAACAAGGCATATTCGCCGCCATAGTCGAGACTCAAGTTCGGACAGCTCCACGAGTTCTAGCAGACACTCGTAGCAATTGCTTTAACAGGTAATTTGTGTAAAACTTGTATGCCAGTTGTAAATAGAAAAAAAGTTACAAGTTGAGAGGTTTATTGATCTTTACGTTTGAAAAACCTTGTTCTCTATGCATTTGCAGAGGATTCCACTTTTAATAAAGAGGATTTAAGAAGGGGGTCATGCAAGTTGATGGTTTTAATTCAAGGGCATTCTTAATATAAGATTTTTTTGGACCTCAGTCATAAAATAGTTGAAAACCGTTTGTAAAAAGTTTTTTTTTTGTCTTAAAACAAGTACAGAATTGTACATTAGCATGTTTTACTGTGAATTACGTATATATATTGCAGTTTCCATCAATAATCAAAGAACAATGATAAACTCATCCAACCTTGATTGGATGAGACGCTATAGTAGGAAGCTTGAAGATGAAATGGTTGAAACTAATTTTCTTTAGCATTTCAAAGGATCATTGACCCTTATTTTATTGCTGTACTTTTTATACAAAGGATGACAAAAAATTGGCCATGCATAGGGTCATTCACTATAGTACACTCGCCCTATTATATGCATAGTATTGTGGCTACACAAACTTTTTCTTTTTCCATTCACTGTCAAAACCAATGTCAGCTCAATGCCAATGTTTCTCAACAGGCGCCTATCTCTGTTTACTGTTTACCGCCACTAACGATGTTTTGTTTCTGTTCCAGTGACGTTCGATGACAACCGAATGCCGCTGCCTTTCACGTACCTGTTACCCCACATTACCGTGTGGCTTGTATATTTTATACGCTTTTAACGTTTCTGTATATTTTTTGCACATTTTATTTATCTACCATCGCAACCTATCCCGTTTTGTTTATTTTGTAAACAAAGTATTTTATATTTTCCTGTACAGATAGTATTATTCGTCTAGCTTAAGTATTTAATGAACATTGTGTAAAATGTAATTATTGTATCGCAATATTATATAGGTTGTATAGTTAATGGAAATAATAACTATTTTATAAATATATTAATTTAATAAAATACCTCTTTATAGTGATAGTGTGGCAGTTTCTGTTGTCTACACAGTAGTCATTTTAATTATTAAATTAATAAACGAATAAGTAATTATTACGTATTCTTATTGAACCTTTAGTTTGATCCTGCTATTCGTCCTTTATCCAAACACAGTGGTTAATGGTAGCCTCTTTGGAAGCGAGCTGGTCTATGAGTAGATTGTGAGAAGTCCAAAGTTCAAAATACTATTATATTTAGAGAGAGCAACATGAGTTTACACTATAGGGGGGGGGACCTAGTTATTTCATCCAACTAATTTAACCTCATAAATATTTTTTAAAGATTCTTCATTTATTAAATCCGCTGTTTATTTGAGGGATTTTATTTTGAGATCTTTAACATATACATCTTTTAACTATGAAAGCAAATAAATTGATTGCAAATGGTTAAAAAACTAGAAAATTAAGAAGTGTGGAAAAACTTAATCATTCCTTTCAAAAGGTATAGTTTCTATAAAAGTAAAAACAACCAGAAAATATAGATTGGTAAAATATTTTGTAGAGATTCCTAATCAAGTAAACTTTAATGATTATCTACTGCAGTTGTCATTTGAAAGATGTTTATTATTTTGTTAAAGAGGATGACTTTGAAAAGTTATTAAACTGAAATGTCCAAACTTATAGCTTTTAGTTGTTTTTAATCCCTCCTCGATAATATAAACAACATCACGGATGACTTGAATAGCCATCACTCTTTACTGAAAATTACACTAGACATTCTGAACTAAAAATAACATTTATGTTGGATTTAAGTAAAAAAAATGCTCAGTGCTTTACCGACATCAAGCTTTTGTCCATTATAATTTTTCAAACTGTACAGGATGTTTCCAAAGACTATTCGTCCAGGTCGGATGGCTCTTATGGGTCCAATATTTTATGTCGGAAAGATTTTTGGTTTGCTACCTCTTTGTTACAACTTTGGTCCTGGGACAAAATGTAAACATTTTTGTAGTAATTCTCGAGGTAAGTTTTAACAAAAATAAGTATAGAAAACATAGAAAAAGAAAACACAATCTTGGTAATTTGGTTTTGAAAAAAGGTCATGGCTAAGAGACAACTCATCTGAGAAACCAAGCTTCACAAGGCATCCCAAACTCATATATTTGAGTTTAAATACGCCTGATTGTATCTCTATCTTAATCTTGATGAATTGGAAATTTATGGTGAGTCGGTGGCTCAGTCGGTAGCGTCGCGGACTTCCTAGCCCGCGGATCGGGCCCAAGGCAGCGATGTCGTGGGTTCGGATCCTGGTCACTGCCACTAAATTTTATCAGTACAGTTCACCTTTGTACTGTACCGGCTCACCCCTTGCTTTGCTGTAAACGATCCACGCACGGGCGCTTAGTCTATGTGGACGGGCATTGCAAGGTTAAAAGAGGCCGCCAACCTCTTAAAAAAAAAAAAAAAAAAAAAATTAGCAACTAACACGACTTAAATAAAAAAAAGTTTTTTACACAGAAGGAAGTGCATTAGTAGTACTGTATTTAGAAAAGGTAGGGGAAATACACAAGGTAAAAAATAGTGCCATTGAATTTGTAAATACCACCGAAACCAAAATCTTAAAGTAAATGGCACATGAAAACTTGTCTGGGTAGCTGAGTGGTTATAATGCTCACCTTCAAATCTGAAGGTCGCTGGTTCGAATCCAACTGAACCAGACTCGGACACTATTGGGCAATCAATTAATGATGCTCTCCAAACAACAGGTTGATGTTAAACAGTACTAAGGCCAGGGTTTAGACTTTTCCCTAACGAAAAACTTTAGCAAATGCCACTGGTGTAGAAAGACAAAATAAAAATTTAAATAAATAACAAACACATTTCCATTTTTTTCCCCAACTCAATAATTACCTATAATAGTGTGATATAAGAATTACATTTTAAATTATAGTTTCTTGTAATTTTTTTACATTCAAGGTATATTTTTTCAGAAAGACCGTTCTCAGTATCTCATTTAGGACTGTTTCTATCCTTCTTACAACTTGTTCATCTTCTCTGGACTACACATCATGTCTTCATGTTTTGCATCAACACCGCCATAGAGTACAAAGTCACCTGTATGAGAGGTAACCAGTGCGTCATCTACGGGATATTCATGATCCACGTTACAGTCGGCCTGTTGAACGTACTCTCTGCAATAATCAACTGCAGAAACAGCACCAAGTGTTTAAACTCTGCTTACTATTTGTTGAATCACAAAAACCCATCATACTCTCGCTTACCCTTAGCAACATTCTCCATTTTCGGCTTTTTACTTCTAGTGGTAATTCGCTTGCTGTTAAATTCATCCTCTCACAGCGAATTCCCTTTGTTCTACTATGGCTATTACTTATCGTATTTCGCCCCTATAGTAATACTAAATCTGGTAGCGACTTTGGCCTTAGTTGCTGAAAACGCTTATAAGCAAGTCAATCACGATCTTGGACAATTATTTAACGAAGATTGTAAATCCAAGAATTTCCTTCTTTACATACGCAACTTGGCAATCGCTCACAACAACATAACTGACTTTGTTGATGAGATTTCTGCTTGTTTCGGACTGGATATATTCCTCGGAATGTTTGACTGTTTTACACAGTTTGTTCTGTTTCTTTACCTGACCATTTGGACGTTACTTGTAGAAGGTCTTTTCCACAACTGGCTAATCCCTTATCTTACTACTACAGTAGAAATTGCCACAATCGTATTCAAGATTGTCTACTTGTGCTACCGCAGCCAAAAGACTTCTCGGCAGGTAAGCAATTATTTAAAAATTGAATTAAAGAAGCAATACTATAAAGTCTATATCATCCCACCTATGCCAGCTGGGGCAATATCTGATAAGTAGAAAGATTAAATAAAACAGAAAATAATGACCACATGATTACACGTACCTTACAAGTTTAGAAATACTAGAAACCTTTTTGTTACTAACTATAACTATAGTTCGGCCGCTTAGAAAGCGACCTCCTCCAGCATTGGTTTAGCATTAGCGCGCAGGTCGTTTTCTAAGCGGCCGAACTATAGCTGTTACCCACGGGCTTCACCCCATTTGACTTCATCCATATATAAATCCCAAAGTAGGCCTACCCATGAACCTTTGACAAAACTAAAAGTCACACCCCCATTAACCATATACTGTACTTAAAATGTTCATCATGAGGAGAAACCTTGCGCAAAACTGACCATTATTTCATAAATTGCAAAAATCCAAAAAATAAAATAAAATTCAAAAATCCTTTAAGGTTGTAATTCCTGTTTAAAGGGGCTTTCCATATACCTCATGTTAAAAATACCTCAGCTGCACTTATTTGTTTGTTATTCTTTCAATTTATTACCTTATTAAAATCAGGTGTGATTATTTGTTTGTATTACTGTAATTTGTATTTCTGTTTAGTTTATTTCAGCTTAACTTAAACAATCAATATTTTTTCACCACACTATGATATGTTTTTGGCTGTATTAAATACGTTAATTGGTGGCTGAAAGTTACGTTTTGCTGGCCATGCCAGCTGTCATCGTAATTTGGGGACCGAGCAGGTTTTTACGGCTGTCTGCTTACTTACTTAAAACATGAATGCATTTTAAATACACAATCAAAATCCATAGCATTGCAAAGAATTGTGTTATTGTCACCGTTGCCTAGCAACTATTTATTTTTATTTTTGCTGATTCCTCAAATTATTTCTTCACATTACCCTAAAGTTGTAGTTGTGTTGACTATCAGTGTGCATTATTATAGTGGTGAATAGTGGTAAATAGGGTATAGTGTGGTGAAAAATAGCGTTCATAAAAAGGACCGAAATGGTTTTGCAGCTCTCGATAGATTAAAAATTAAATTAAATTAGTAATTAAAAACTATCTCAAGCCGGCAAAACCTCATTTTCCGCCCTAGGTACGAAATATACTATTATTAATACTTATGAAGTCAAACGGGGTGAGGCCTGTGGGTTACAGCTAGTAAGTACTAATAAAACTATCGATTAATTGTATTTTTATTCGATGTAACTACTCAAATTAATTCTCTTATTTATTTTAAAGACATTTTCTGTCAATTAACTGCCACTATATATCATATTGAAAGTGTTGTCTTTGTTTTTTTTGTTTGGTTGGCATCTTGCTTGATGTATGATCATGATTTTGACTTCGTCGATGATGCAATGTTTTCTTTTATGACAAATATAGATTTTTTATTATTACGTTGTGTGTAACAAATACACAATCTGAGGTTAGGTTATGTCTCAGTTCCATCCAACCAAGCGTAACCTAACCTTACCCTAAGCACAATTGTTCAAATAACCACGGGATTTTAATCTGGAAAAACAGTGGTTGAACTATCAGAAAATGTACTTTATTTTGTTTTATTCTCAGGGAAATTCAACTTTGTGGTATTTACACCGTCTCAGCACCAGAACAGACTTAAGTCATCGGTGTCAGCAACAGGTAAATTATAAAGATCGAGTTAATTATATCAAGCTGAGAAACCAATTAAAACTTTGTGAGTTCACATCATATTTCAGCATCCTTTGTGATTAAGTTATTATGATTAGTTTAGTAAAGTAACTTTTAAAACTGGAAGGATATTTTAAACTATATAATATGCTATACTATTAAGTGATTGCGTAATACAACAGTTTGTTACCAACCAAATGAAGTCTTAAACATGTGAAAGAACCCTTCTCATTATTGAATTATATTCTGATGGATATATGAAAAGAAATAATCATAATGCATATAGGTTACACATATAGATAAATGCATCATATGCATTCACCGAATTCAGATTCCCCAGGAAACCAACTATATCAATAAAAACGTAAATATCTGTGGCCACAAAGCCTTGCCAACCCTGAAAAATATAATTTAGGCTATAAATAAAGTAATTTATATAAATTTATCTCTAGTATCTCTAGCTAATTTTTTATACCTTTTATTTTCACAGATAAACATTTTTGTGATGCAGCATAACAGTCGAAAAATAAAAATAACAGCGCTGAAGCTTCTCTCCCTGAACATGGATTTACTATTTCAGGTGTGTGTATGCCCAACTTGTTGTCATTTAATTTAATAGTACTCGTAAAATTACGATTGACTGGTACTCAGTATAATTACTTAGGATAGATGAGACTAGATAAGATCAGGACACAACTGAAGCATGATTTTTTATCAGCTCGTAAAATGCAAGAATCTAATAAAATTAAATGCTACAGTAAATATTTGAATACCTCAGACAAAATAAGTCAAGATTAGCAGGAGTGACATTTCCCCAATTTGCAAGTAAGTTTCATATTGCTATAAGGAAGATGGCATAATTTGCTTGATTAATAATCAATTTAATACAATGTGCATTTATCACAGAAAATGACTTTCATCTGTGATCACAATCATCTTCTGTGATTACAGGAATATAAATTGTTAATGATCACTTAAATGCCTTCCATTGTCGCCATGATATCGCAAAATTCACATTACAAAAGGTTGCAGATATTTTGACATAGTTTTTACGTTATAGCTTACTTTCCTAATAAGACGATTTTTTCTAGATTCTTGGAATTGTGAGTACCTACTTCATAGTACTTATACAATTCCAAATCAGTGGTGGAAGTCATCCCAAGCCCAAAGTGAAAGATATGAACGTGACCAGCAAATGTCAAATTTGGCCTTGCCTTGGAAGCTAAATTCAATATTTAATTTTGTAATAAAAAAATATTTTAATTTTAAAACAAAATAAACTAAAGAGGCACTGTAATCTAGCATCAAACCATGTGTACATAAGAAGGCATTCTTTACTTTGTCTTTTGTAAAATTGTCTGGATTAAGAAGATTTATCAAGTCTGAACTAACGAGAGTTTACTGCATATCACACTTCATTGTCAATGTTAGAAATTTGTTCGTAAATAATATAATTACTAGGCCTATAGGAAGTTTGTGTTACATATATACCCACATTCTTGTGGAACATTTTATTTCATATTAACTTAAAATAATTAACATTATTGAATCACTTACATTTCGGAAAGAGGTTTCAACACATTATACAAAAGATTTGAGTTTATACAAAGCGGCGCTACAGCTGTCAAGATGAAGACATACAAATTTTCTCTTTGGCGGAGGGTGGAGGGTCGGACTTAAGGGACCTTCCCTCGCGCTGTTGCTGGGTAAGGTTTGTGTAGATCGTCATCGCCTGGAACAAGTTAAAAATCAATATGTGGGTAAACAATTCAAACGTACTTGACCTCGTTAAAGAACAAAGCAAGATGGCGCTGTGAATTATGGATTGATGTGAGTTATGGAGGTTCTGGAATGTTTCAGGTCAAATGATTCAGGTGGATAATTTGTTTAAGTGTTGTGCGATCGATGCTAGGATCCATTGATGGGCGAAGTCACCAACCTAGTTGTGTTTCAAATGAATCAGAATTGGCTTGATAGAAGTGACAATATCAAAGATTGCAAGGTTTAACCAGAGATTATCCCACCTAGCCTACTCTCCATTCAGGCTCAATTACACAAAACAAATTAACAGGCTACAAATCAACATTTTAACAAGCACTTTCTTAACTTTTAACCTAGTCTCGAGTACTCGCTGCGATAATTTGATAACTGCTCCTAAAACAGCTTTGGGAAAGTGTATTCTTTCAAGGACTTTTTTACACTCACCGACTTTTGAGAGAACTGGGTCGTAAACAATCTTAGTTTACTGACAAGTTTGTATGGAAACGATAACCAGTATAAGTCTCGATGACATCAGAGGAATCGGTTAACAGCGAGAGTTGTATACCACACTAGCCAACAAGCCAGCCAGTACTCATACTCTCCGGCTAGTAGCTTGTACAATCACCCTGTATAATCTAGCATTTACACAGTCAAGTTTTACATTTACACCTACCTGAGCCACAGCTCCAGGGACATCCCCGGCGTTGGAAGGCAAAATCATGGTATTGTTAGTCTTGGCCAGGTTGTGAAAAGCCTCCACGTACTGTTCAGCTACTGTTAGACTGGCTGCCTCTTTGCCATCCTGAACACAAAACACTCCGTCATAATGAAACACATCATATACAAACAACATCACAACAACACATCATACAAGCACCATACGCATCATACATCATATACAATTAACACGATTAGTTATAGACATGATAACTTCTCCATCGTCTACATCAAATCATCATAATACTTATTAAATTGGATAATTTTAACTAACCAAGATTGATTTGATTCCTTTATTGCAGAAACCCCATAACACATTTTTTTAAAGATTTTTACTTTTTAGTACAGTAGAACCCCGGTTAACTGAAATCGGGTTAATCAAAACCTGGGTTAAATGAAACGGTTCTATAAATTAATACAGGGCTAAAATACATACAATGTTTGTACATTGTACAATACAATGTAAACAGCAAGGCGTAGCGCTGAGCCCCTCTCTCTAGAAAGGGGCTTTCCTAAGACATTGTAAAATTTTTGTAGCTGAAATAAAACACTGTATTGTATAGACATTGTTTTAAATTCATATTTCCTTCAGACCGTGGTAATACATAGGCTATTTTTACATATGATGGGTTAACCGAAAAATTGGTTATCCGAAACACCTCCCCCCCCTTTATTTCGGTTAACCGGGCTTCTACTGTATATTTATGATGTACAAATTGAAATACACCGTTTGATGCAGAAATCACACAACTGTGAAAATGTTGATTATGGGGTTTCTGCGATAAACGATTCATTTACGCTTACTGGCACCGTGAACAATAGTTTTCACTCCATATAGGTTAGCCTACTGAGGTAGGTATTAGTATGCGGACCGGTTAAACAGACAACCTCTACAAGAACATTTCATGGGCATTATTAGATTTTTAACTGAAACCTTGGAACAACTGAGTCCAGTCAAGCACTACCACGGGACCGAGTTTGATTCGATTTGGACCTTTACCTGGACACCTAGAGCCTTGGCAACCATCTGAAGTCCCTTGGCCCTGGCCTCCGCCACAGCCAACATGGCCGCTGCCTCTCCACTGGCCTTGTTGATCTGCTCTTGCTTCTCAGCCTCTGCAATAAACCAAATTTCATCAAAATTGCATCATTTTTACTTGAGTCATCGTGCTAATGCACACATAAGTTAAATGTTGTTAGCTTACATATTACATTCTATTCAAAGTTTCATATGGAGAGGTAATTTACCTGAAGCTAGGATTCTAGACGTTCGCTTTCCCTCTGCGACGTTAATATCAGCCGCTCTGACTCCCTCAGATTCCAAGATGGCCGCTCTTTTTTTCCGTTCTGCTTCTACTTGCATTTGCATCGCCTCCTGGACTCTAGTTGGAAGTTTTATATCTCCTGTTAACACAGGGTATTCAGTAGTAAAGTACAGAAGTTCGACTATTAGTAGATACTAGTATACATGTTGCTCGAATTCGAGCAATCGCAATTTATTACAGAGGTTATTTCAAAATGAAAAACAGCCATATTTACAAAGAGTTTAAAAGAGTCAACTCAAAGATTACAGGTGTGTAACTCATGGAGATACTCACGATGTTCAACATTTCCTAGAAAAGTTAAGTCCATGTTTCCTTCTATAAATTGTAGCACTTCGGCTAATACCCTCGTTCATCGTTTGTAGGAATCTTCATCTTGCAGGTGTTCTTCATTATATAGGCCAATAACGATCATAAATTCTTTAAAAAATATTATCTCTATTTCTTCTACTCAGTGGCCTTTTTATGTTTCCATAATTTGCAAATGGGTTCTTTCAAATGATTTAATTTTTGTAGGACGCATTTCTTTGAATTTCACCTTAAATATTAACAGCAATTCGCCTATAATAGGGACATTCGACTATTGGGTCTGATGATGATTGGAGTTTCCAACCGAAATCGATCACCACTCACCATCTTTTTTGTATATTTACCGTCTTGTGAGTAACAGTATAAGCGTAAATATATGTTTTAAGTGTTATAAGACGTTTCTTTTATTTACTTTCCGTAAGCAATTAAATATCCAGCTGATCATAATGTAAACAAATATGTTCTTCATAAGGATAACATGGGAACTTTAAAAGCCACTGGGGCAGAGCCCAAGGGACTTTTTCAAAAATGTAAGGCCAGTTTGCAAATCTACGCGACACGCTCTTTCAAATGAGACGTCAATGGATAAAATCGGTTAAGAAATGGCGGAGGAGTTCAACCGACAAAGTTTCGTGTAGCATATTAATTATATAGATTTTTAAATGGACTCAATTGACATGCAACAATTTTTCAAGAATATTTTTGAAAAACGAAGACCTGAAGAATAGACATAGCTCAATTTTGCAAAGGAGAAAATGAATTAGTGGCAGAGGTTACTTACTAAAAATATTTTGAATCTCGTATCAAAACAAGGTGTTTTTTGTGGAGTCATAATTTTATTCAAATACCAGGCGGAAAATTGAGACTTGGGCCACAACAACACATACATGAAACTATGGTTGATTTTCCTGAATCTAGAGTCCGCCCCTTTCCATCAAGGTCACACAAGACATTTGAAATATTCTATATAATCAATTATCATTTCAAAAAATAAAATATAACTGCCAACAAACTACAATATATTTTTATTGAAGGAAATTCAGGTTTTGTGTTAGGGATTTTTGGCTTAATTTAGTAGCGTAGGAAATTATTTGGAACAAACTCTGCAATTTATCCTTTATTATTTGAACTTAACCTTAAAATTTATTACATTTTTATCTATTTAATTTTTTTTTTGCAAAACACACGGAAAAATCCTGCAAAGCCCTACGGGGTTCAAAAGGGTTGATGTTTTATTCAGCTTTTTTTCTTTGGCCAAGTTTATTTTTTATAGGAGTCTACAATTTATTTGACAAATGAAAAAATCAGAACTTTCTTAGGCCTACAATAATATAATTTCTATCTCTCCTCCTAACACTTGTTATTTCCTTTTTTATGTGAGCTTTTTTGCTGGATAGTTATTTTGCCACTTATTGAATTGTTGACAGACATTTGCCAGCCACAACGCACAACTTACGTATTTCATATCGTAGACAGGTAATGCCCCAGGCTGCACTAGCTTTGTTGATCGACTCCACGATGCCAACATTCAGACTTTCTCTCTCCCTGAATACTTTGTCCAAAGAAATCTTTCCCAGTTCAGATCTGTCGGCAACATGAACCGTCATAAATTATATCCATTTTTGGTGATGGTAGATGTAAGACATTTGAGGAATTATTGCTGACACTTTCAATATTGGTAAATAAAATGTTAAAAAACCTAACTCATAAGATGATTCCCTCGATTCCAGTCTGTACTTTTTTAACCCTCCTGTTACAATACTTGACATGCAAAAACAAAAACACAATTCTTCAAACCTAGCCAAAAATAGAAAATCAAAAAGCAAACACAGGGACATGTAGTAAAAATGTTACAGTACCATCTGTGATTATATAATGTTAGGTAAGTAATAAATCTTTATCAATTATCAATTATCAATTATTTAAGATGGGGACGCCACTATGTGCGTATTTTAACCCAAATATGAGTGAAGGATGAGTGTAGGATGAGTGGCTATTTGTAAGCTATTGTAAAACTTTCTTTATGAAATTGTATAAGCGTTCTCAATACCCGCTTTTAATAATTTGTCTAGTAAAATAACACTCTATATACTTAATACAATAAGTGTTTTCTCCAGCCATCCTACTTAACAGAGTTTTAGATCAATTATTTTTTGTAGGCCTACTTAAAAAAATCATTATTCTACATAATGAACCCAGACAAAATTGTATTATTAGTAGATGATTATCTTACCTCATAGTGGTTTGGGCAAGTTGGGTGATCGCAAACTCTGGATCTTCAACTCCGTAGCTTGCAAGGTAAGGATCGTTTATCCTCAAGTACAGCACACCGTCAATACTGAGAGTAACGTTATCTGAAGACATAAATAGATGTTACAAAGTTAATTAAATATACAAAATCTTACCATTTAGTAATTTTTTAAATTAAAATGATAAGAGAAGGGTAGTTAGAACTCTGTAAAAGGGGGAGGGGTTGGTTCTTAAAGAATAGCGCTGAGAGGGGTTTAGGCTTCAAATAAAAATGCGTTCTGAAAACATGTTACTTTGAGAGTAACTGTACAAGGACATAAACTATACTTTTAAAATCATCTTCAGTAGAAAAAACCATTTACAATTTACAATTTAGCTGTTTAGCTTACCTGATGTGATAGCACTCTGTTTAGGTACATCGATAGCAATTTCTTTAAGACTTTGAACATATTTCACTTTATCTATGATAGGGAAGAGCAGGTTAAGACCTGGTTCCATTATTCGGAAAAACTTCCCCATCCTTTCAACAATCCAAGCCTGCAAATAAAACATATACATGCCATATAAGTATTTTTTCAAGAAGATAAAATAAAATTGGATAAATCTGGGTAAAGGAGTCCATTTGGTAGAGGTTAGAACATCAAATAAATTATGTTAAATGCTCTTTGTGCAATGTGAAAAATATTTCATACATAAATGATCCGAAGGAATATACATGTCGAGCAAAATAATGAGGAAGAGTAATTTATCTTTCTTGGACAAAGTCGTTTTCAATATTCCTGAACACCCAAAGAACTGCTAAGGCCGTGTAATAATGGAATCTCTCATTAATTCATGACGAAGACTGTCTGCAAAAGACCAAGGACACTGTATGTCTCACAGGCATTTATACTTATGGAGTCATTTATGCTGCTGACAGTTATTACAATGCCTTCGTGCCATGGCTCAAGCTCAGACATTTGCATAAGTAGGACTAGCCATTAGGACGATTGGTAGTGAATGGTAGACCTTCTGGTAAAAATACACAAATCCCAGAACACTCAAATAGTGATTCTCAAAGTATAAAATTGTGTAAAAAAATATTAACTGTATAACTTGAGGTAGGCATATTAGAAGGAAAATTATGTGCAGAAAAAAAATTACTTGACACCAATGGCCTCGCAGATTGCTAGCTTGTGTAGTGTCCCAAGAAGGACTTTAGGTGTCGGCAGTAAGAGTTCTGGCTACAGTTCAAAGACTTGCCTGTCTCTGGCACAAATAGTAGCTATCCTGAGGCCTAGTAAACACCCAGACCTGGAGATAGCCGGAACGGGAGAGTATATGTATTACAAATTCTGGAGGCATAACAAAACTTCTCCATGTTTGGGAAAAACCACATTATCCAGAAATAATTACCGTATCCATTAATCGCCACAAATTACCCATTTCCCTGGCAAATCACCCTATCTTCTTGATAATAACTAACCTTGTAAATCTGCTCGGCCCAAATACACGATTCCCACTGTGTTCTGTGTGAGTTAAAGGAGGTCTTGCTTATTTGTTTATGTACCTAATCGGGATTATGAACTATTATTATACAAAATTTCAGCCCAACCCAATCAGTAGTTAATGCGGGATTGAGCTCCAAACCAACACACAAACTGTAACTTATACTATTAGTAGGATAAAAAATGTTCCAAGTGTTTATATATTTACCATAGGCCTAGGCCTGTATCTTGTTATGGGTTTCTCTTAAAGATGGCTGAAATCAAGACGCTGAACCCACAATTATTTTGAATCACTGGGTAGGCAATTTATACCATTGTAACTAAATGAGATCTATTTTTCAACCCCTTTTTAGAGATTTAGGCTGCTGATTTAGTAACAAGTAAAACAGACTGAACAAAAATATTTCAACAAAAGAACTTACCTCTTGTTGAGGAACAAACATGATAACTGTGTTGATTGGAGTGCCATGCCTCCATCTAACAAGCTGTTTCCCATTGGCTGCTAACGACGGTGCAAGTTCATGATGTGTCAACACAGTCTGCAAATATGGGAATTAAAATCATTAAATAACTCTTGGTACCGTACATCTTTACTGACGAAACATTTTAGAATTGAGTTTTTAGATTACCTACTTAAATTAAGTCTGTCTGCATAAATTGTCTCACATAAGAACATCGTCTCACGTTGCGGGATGTCAACGTCAACTGTAAATTCATATTCTGTGCCTCACCGTTGATCAGAGGCACTGGTTTTGAAACATCCTCAGACGCAGCTGGAGGTTAAACTTACTTCCCAGTATAGGAAGAATTAAACTACAGTAATAGGCCATTCTGAAATTAAGCGGAATTTGTTGTCCCTCCATTGTTTTCTACCCAAAAAAAAACTAATTTATATAAACTTTATTTTTTTTTTTTGTAAATGAAGCAAGAGTGAATTTAAGAGATTAAAAATCTGCAAAGTACCGGTACCCGAAATGTAACCACCATGGAATATTTCACCCATGTTTTTTGCAACACTTACATTACAAGTGATTTATGAAAAAATCATTGAATGTAACAAATTCTCAATTTTAGTAATAAAATATATAACCATAGATAAAACATACTCCCTTAATTAGTCTATTGTTGGTTAGTCTATGATATAACCTAGACTCAACACCATCTTAAAAATGTTTACAAAAATATCTAATTAAATATCTAAAGTTGTCCACTGGGTTGGATGTAACCTCCATGGACCATATATAAAAGCTCTAAAAATGCTTACTGGACAGTAGCACTGACCATTGACAGAGTTTTGAGAAGGTGGCAGCCGTAATGGTATTTCTGTTGATTGTTTTCTGCTCATGTGTCCTACTTTTGATGTTAATAAACAGGATTTCCTTTCTTGCAAGGCCAGTACCTTTTATTTGTAACCTCCATGTGTGCAACAAATAATGCATGTCATATGCTAAAATTTTAACTTCGACTTTTTATTTGGGAGACGCCTGTTACCTATCTTTCAGAAAACATAAGCTCTCTAGATATATAAATCTAAAGGTTAGAATTTACAAGTGATTGAACAGAAAAATGAAACCTCCAGAGGTACCGGTAACTCCCATGGATAGGCCTAAACTTAATTACTATAATTATGTAATACATTATATTATTATACCGTATCCATTCTTGACCTCTTGAAAGGGTGTATGTATTTAGTTTGTTATGAGTCTTCAAAATATATATAAAAAATAAATATTCTTTCATAAATTTTTCTTGGGCGGAAATTCCACTTAATTTTAGAATGGCCCTAATGCTTTCAATTGAATATGTTTTATTGCATTCTATTTATGCCTTTAAACAATAAGATTGACAACTGATCAAAAAGTATTTTCAGGGGAACAAAATTATCAGAGCTCAGAAAATCTACGAAGTACATAGGTAGAGTTTGACATAAACCAAATAAAACTTTAGACATTCGATCAGGAAATTGTGTACGGTAGGGCCTAGGTTAACTCCTTGTCACTCACTTGAGGGACATTAAAAATTATTGGCACACCACCAAAGCAATCCTCTGTGCCCTGACAAAAACAAACACAAATACGATGAATAACCGAAACCACGTAAAATTAAATATGATGCAGTTCCTTGAAAGTAGGCTAGGCCTATTGTATAAGTTGTATGGTAGCAAAGGGTATGCCTAAGCCTGGACATTAATTAAATTGAACAAAAATTGGTTTAAAGCTAAGCAAACCTTCATTTTTAAAAGTAAATTACATAACTTAGGCACAAGTAGTTCTGTAGATGTAGGCTATGTAAGTTTCTAAGTTTAATCTAGTAAGTTTCTACATTTTTTATTTACATTTCGGTCTATTAATCTATTTATTTTATAGTAAGCTTTTAAAAACAAACTAGGTAGCGAACATAGGCCTAGGCCTAAGTCTGTTTTGATGATGCAACCAAACCATGGAAATAACTTACCCTCGCCAACAAAGTTCCAAATTTACACCTTGACAATATCATAGTGACATACAAGAACGACTTTAGTTGAAAATTAATTGAGGTATAACTGAAATGTTATAGTGCAAAGTGCAATGAATTAATTGCCGGTAATCCTACTTTATGAAAATTAGCAGACAACAACAGTTGAGGTTATGTATGAAGATGAAGATGATAGATAGTAAGAAGAAGAAGACAGCTTGTTGGTTGTTGTTCTTGTCTTGATCGGCTTTGGCTTGACTGATTTCGATTTAATTTTGTATTGATATTGTAGATAGTTTTTCTCGTGAGCTTTGATCAGTCTATGGAGAAAAGCTATAAAGTTCTATCGAGGAATACTGGTATCATTGACTTGATTATTACTGTGTATATCCACACAGTATTTTGGGAAATTAATATTCAATGCTTATAGATGATGCCATAGGTTCTCCGAAAGAATTAATGTACGTACGATGTTACCATTGAACCATAGTAGAGCAAGAGCCCATGACTGCCAGACCTTCGTCATTTTATAAAAGCTGAAAGTTTCTCAGCAAATGCTCCCAGTTCAGTTAAGAATGATCGGCAACTATGACATTTGGATTTTGGTTACTTTGGTAACAAAAAGGTAACAAAGGTCTGAAATTTGCAAATAATCATCGTTATAGTATAAAGCTTGGTTCTTTCATATTTTCTTCAGAGGAATGCTAGAAATCATTTCCCCCATTGCCAGACACTTTGTGCGGTTTAAACCCTCTGCCAGACACCCTTAAAACTAGGTATGACGAAGATTAATTTTCGTCATTTTATAAAAGCTGAGATTGATATATGTTATTTGGGGAGCTATCAAAAGACGTTTTCTCAAAAGCCAGACACTTTCGTTGGTAACTTCATCTAGCCAGACACTTTAAAGTCTGCCGTAATAAGCTTAACTGTTTCATGCAAACAGTGAATTCAGTTCCAGTTTGAAACAGGTTTCTGTGCCAAATGTAAACGGTTAAATTACTTACTTTCTTCCTCACAGTCTGTTTTTATAATAAACCATATGTTTGATGTAAACATATGTTATATTTGCATTTAAATGTTTGTTTATTCCTGCAGTGTTTTGAACATATAAAATTCTAAAACCATCGGGCACAGAAAACTATTCCAAACTGTAACAGAAGTCACTGTTCGTAAGTAGCGGTTAAGCCCACAACTACCTATTATATTACAACAGACTTTTAAAGTGTCTGGCCAGATGAAATAACGAACGAAAGTGTCTGGCTCTTGAGGAAATGTCTCTTCATAGCTTCCCAAGTAACATATATCAAATTCAGCTTTTATACTATTATGTAAATTAACGCAATTACGATTTGAAATAAGTTGTGCGATTTCAACCTGTTACATTTGGCGAAGAAACCAGTTCTATACTGGAACTTAAGTCACTGCTTGTAACTACTGTACCTATTACACTACTACAGTCTTTTAAAGTGTCTGGCAAGATGAAATAACCAACGAAAGTGTCTGGCTATTGAGAAAATTTCCCTCCATAGCTTCCCAAGTAACATATATCAAATTCAGCTTTTATACTATGATATAAATTAACAATTACGATTAGAAATAAGTTGTAATTTCACCGTTTACATTTGGCACAGAAACCTGTTCCAAACTAGAACTGAATTCACTGTTTGCAGGTAACAGTTAAGCTTATTACGGCAGACTTTAAAGTGTCTGGCTAGATGAAGTTACCAACGAAAGTGTCTGGCTTTTGAGAAAACGTCTTTTGATAGCTCCCCAAATAACATATATCAATCTCAGCTTTTATAAAATGACGAAAATTAATCTTCGTCATACCTAGTTTTTAAGGGTGTCTGGCAGAGGGTTTAAACCGCACAAAGTGTCTGGCAATGGGGGAAATGATTTCTAGCACTCCTCTGAAGAAAATATGAAAGAACCAAGCTTTATACTATAACGATGATTATTTGCAAATTTAGGACCTTTGTTACTTTTTTATTGCCAAAGTAACCAAAATCCAAATGTCATAGTTGCCGATCATTCTTAACTGAACTGGGAGCAATTGCTGAGAAACTTTCAGCTTTTATAAAATGACGAAGGTCTGGCAGTCATGGGCTCTTGGGCTATAGACTAACCAACACAAGGTTATGTAAGTTATGTAGTTGTTACTAAGGGAGTATGTTTTATCTATGATTGAACTAACAAAAAAACTTTCCAATAGAAGAGATTAATATAATGTCACCAATGCCTGTCAATATTAAAAATATATAAAACTGTCATTAAACAAAATGACATTATTTTAGGATGACGAAAATCTGTCAGTGGTTCAATTGGTTACGCGTCTACTACTCTCAATCAGTCAGTGACATCATTAACATAGAAATGTTTAGAACCAATGTAATAAATTTAAATCTGGCCAAATAAATTACTTATAGAACAAAATGTTTGACTCCATAAACTATGTTTGTTCTAGTTATGAGGAGAGCAGGCCGCGCCCTTCGAAGTGGCAACATAGCAAGTAGGGTTGTATAGTCCTCTCCTCCCAACGTTACTTGAGACAGCTCAAGGCAGCACGCCATATATCTAGTAACAAAGATAATTTAAGTATTGTTTTGGTTTTAAATTGTATGTTTTATTTTCGATCTTGTAATACATTTATCCGGTGGCCGTGGGAGAGCATATTATCACGGCCACCTTTAACTCCAAGCAGCGGCCTGGTAGAATTGGCAACGTTGCAAGTAGTGCTGTTTAGCACCAGACTAGACAAATGCAAATACGTAACCAATAACCATACAAAAACACTTTGATATACTGAACTATTTGTTTTTTTAGCTCTTTAAGAAAGTCTAGAGAGGAGGAATCGGGAAATTTTATGATTTGAGGGTCAAAATTGAGAAAAACAAATTTTTGCCTCATAAAACCCCGTTCCCATGGTCTGTTCATGTTGGTTTTTTGGTTCGCGAAATTAAGTTTATAATAAAGTTAATAAAGTTTATCCCGCTTCCACTTTCAAACCAAATTTCATCAGAAATCGGACAAAAATTACTCAAGTTATCGGGTGTTCACGCATATAAATCTATACAGATACGTTTATAGCTACCTACTTCCTACTTCCCTATTTAGGGAAGTTCGCTAACAAAATTTTGGAAGTAGTCTGATGTATGATATTGTCCAACAAAATACCTCATCTAAATGTAATTTTTATACAAATTTAAATTATAGTTTTTTCCCCTTTGATTTTTTTTGGTCTTAGTATTCAGCTTTATCAATTAATAAATGGATTGTCAAACATCACAGAGAGCCAGGTGTCATTTTTTATGTTGAGCTAGGCTGGTTCTATGTTTATTTTTAGATTGTTAATAATTTTCTCTACTGACCACACAAAACTTGACAAAGAGGTCAGTTATATTCCCAATGGTAAAACTGTTTTTATTTTTTTTATGGATATAAAATCATTTATTCATCATCATCAAAACTCCTGCCCATCATTGAGGGGGGGGGGGTTGAATGGTAGTCCAATTTTTTGTTTGTATTTCGAAAACTATAATTACCTAAACTATTATTAAATTATTATTAATTGTAAAGTGAAGTGAAAACTGTAGACTAAAATATGAATACGGTATTTTAAGTTCCTACCTTTACCTTTATGAGAAATGATTATCCTCCTTCCCCAGGAAGATGTGATATGTGATATATATCTTATCTTATCTTACTATTATAAATGTGAAAGTTTGTGTGTTTGTTTGAAGTTCAATCACGCATTAACTACTGGACAGATTAGGCTGAAATTTGGTATGATAATAGCTGACATTCACGATTAACATATAGGCATATTCTTATCTCAAAAATACTTTCGGGCTCTGCCCCAGTGGCTCTGTAGTTCCCCGTCAACCTTATGAGTATTCATATTTAAAGGGAATTAAAGAATTTAGTTAGCTGTTTCAACTAAAAAAGTTGGTTCTATGATATGCAAAAGTATTAAAAAGTTTACCAACAGGGTGCAGCACTATTATTTTTTTGCATTTATGAAAACAGCTAACTTGAACCAAACAGCAACAAAAAACTGTGATACACAAAGAGAACTGTCAAAGTAGGATTGTTTACAGTTATCTTTATGTTTTTATTTCATGGATAATTTGTGATACTTTGCAAATTTTTGATAGTTTATTTTTCTCTATTGTTTAGGTGAAGAGGTAGAACATTATGGCTATGGTAGATGTGTAATACTATAGTATACCATAATTTTAAAGAAGTAAATTTTATCAAACTGTTATTTTGTCCTTCCCTAAACGCAAAGCTTGAGTATAACTGCAATAGGCATTTTATACTTATATGCCAACCCCGTACGAAGGACGGGTACTCTGCTAGTACCAATATATCCTTATATATAATACGTGAAGGCGGTTTCTACGAACACTACTCCTCCGTTAATAATAAAGGATTTTTACAAACGACGTGCCAAAATAAAGTATTTTTTGTGTAGACACCCCCTTTCACTAATTCCTGTAATAAAAGTCCTCGGGCTCTGCTCCACAGGGCATCGAAATCCCAATGTATTTCTTATGAAGAAAATATTTTGTTTACTTAAAACAGGCAAATAATTTGGGGTCTGACTTAGGGGAGGTACGAACGAGGCATTAGTTCAAAATTCCTCCATGAACAGCACTGTAGTAGAGAGCACTTTGGCAATCAAGGTTTACTAATCGCAAAAAAAATAGTTCTGTTCATGAAATAAAATTATAAATGCCTCAAATTCAATTTTATAATTATAAAATTAAACTATGATAACCTAACCGAACTAACCAAACTCGCTGATGATTAAATAATATAAAAAAGTTTACTAATAGAAAAAATAATTATGTTTATTAAATAAAACTAGAAATCGCTCAATTAAAATTTTATAATGACTTAATAATAAAATTAAACTGTCATAACCGAACCAAACCAACCAAACTTGCTGATAATGAAATTCGTAGACAAAAAGTTAATGCTACCAGCGGGATTCAAACCCAGGACCTTCAGCTCATCAGCCCGACACGCTAACCTCTAGACCACCGAGGCCGATGTCCACAACCCGTATTGTTACGGTAATGGCGTTCCCTCAGCTAATAAGAAGCCCACAGCTGTCATCGTAGGCTTTTATGAATTATGTATTTTTACAACATTTTGTAATTTTTCTAATG